AACCTAGCTCTACATAGCCATATATGACAAACCCACAGCTAGCATCATTTTCAATAGTGAAAAACTGAAAGCTCTCCCATTAAGATCCAGTACAAGAGAAGGATGTCCATTCACACCTCTACTATTCAACATACTACTAGAAGTCCTTGCTAGAGCAATTAGGCAAGAGAATTCCAAATTGGGAAAGAAGTAAAACTATCATTATTTGCAGATGATATAACATATAGAGAGAATCCTTAAAAACTCATGGAAGAATTAATTTTTTTTAATGCTCGACGTTATTTTTTTTTAAAGGTTTATTTTTTATTTATACAAGAACTGGGTATAGGCCAGAGGCGTGGGAGGGTGAGAGGATTCACCAGAGACAGAGCGGAGAACAGAACAGGCAGAATGATCGAAATACACTGCTGAGGGGAGCAGCAGGTAAGACAGGAGAGGTCTGCGGCGCCACGTGGGTTGCTCAGCGGCCAGCAGGGATCAAAACCGGCACTGCAGAGGCTGCCGACAGCTTCACAGCGCTGAGCTCAACTACCTGCGCCACCAGGGAGGCCCCCAAATTAATTTTTTTAATATCCAAAGGTCAAGTTTACTATAAAAAGGGAGAGAAGAATAAGGGACACTTGCATAGACACAAGAGGTGTCCCTGAAAGGGACAGGTTTGTTAAGAGTGACTTGGATAGTCACAGGCAGGCAGCCTTGGGAGGAGAGCTATCTCTGCTGCTTTGCAAAGTGAGAAAGTGGGTGAAGTAAAACACCTGCAGAGTCACAGATGGGCAGAAGAATTGCTGCCCCGTGGAAAAACTAATTAAAACAATAAACCAATCAGTAAAGTGGCAGGTTACAAAATCAATACACAAAAATCAGTTGCCTACCTATATGCAAGCAATCAGCCTTAGGAGGAAGAAATTAAGAAAACCATTCCATTTATAATCATACCCAAGAAATTTATATACCTGGGAATAAATCCAACTAAGGAGGTGAAGTACCTACACAAGGAATTATACTGTTAAAAAGAAATAGAAGAGGGCCTCCCCGGTGGTGCAGCGGTTGAGCGCTGGTTTGCGAAGCTGCCCGCGGCCTCTGCGGCGCCGGTTCCATCCCCGGCTGCTCCCCAGCCATTGGAGGAGGGTCCCACATGGCGCGCAGACCTCTCCTGCCGCCCCCCGCTGCTCCCTCAGCAGGGTACTTCAGTCCTTCTTCCTGCTCTGCTCCCCGCTCTGGCTCTGGTGAATTCTCTCACCCTCCCGCGCTTCTGACTGTACCCAGTGCATGTATAAACAAACAAACAAACAAATAAATAAATAAATAAAGCATGCCTCTATAAGAAAGAAAGAAAGAAATAGAAGAAAACAGAGAAATGGAAAGATATTCTCTGCTCATGGATTAGAAGGATCAACATTATCAAAATTGCCATCCTACCCAAAGCAATTTAGATTCAGTGCAATTCCGATAAAAATCTCAATGGCATTCTTCAAAGAAATGGAACAAATATTGTATGGTGATGGATAGAAATTAGACTTTTAGTGTAGTATATGTAATGTATACAGATGTTGAATTTTAACGCTATATATCTGAAACTTAAGTAATGACATAACCCTTGATAATGATAATGATATGTTATCTCAATAGAAATTTATTTTAAAAACAAAATAATTTCTAAATTATTTCAATACAAATTATTATTTCAAAAACAAATTATAAAAGTGGAAATTTGAATATACCCAGTGATTACGTTTTCAATTAGCAGTACCTTAATTACATCATGGAGTGCTTAATAATACTACATGCATATTTTTATGTATTATTCTTTTGCTTTTCAGAATTTTCAAGTTTTATCTTATTTTTAAATTTTCTAATTCAGTTATTACTGCTTTATCTGATAGAGAAAACTTAGAAAATTTAAATGTCCCAAAATGAGAGCCAGTATGAAAAAATAATGATATAGACTAGAAATAAGAATCTATGAAAATAAGCTAGGAATAAAATCTAAATATAGCTTGCTGCCTCATCTATTCTGTTTCCAAGATCAAACATAGAGAGTTGGGTCAGAAATGTAGTTGAAATGTGGAGAATGAAGGAGTCAGTCTTCTGTTATCCTCACTTGGTAAACTTTTTAATATCTTGCTAAGGAAACATTAAAATAAGTAAAAACCATAATCGATAAGTAATTTTGGGGGGTTTAGGTTTTTTAGTGTTTTCCACTTCAACTTTTTCTAATTAACTTAAAGTTAGTTGTGATTGCTTCTTTATGAATTGGTTCCTTTTTGTGTGTTTGTTGTACCGAATGTAAAAATGAGACATACAAAATATGAAATTACAAAAGATAATCAGAGGCTATAATTCATTAGAGAAGATATAAATGTAAATCACTATTATTCAAAAATAATTTCATTTTATACCCAACCTAGAGAAAAGCGTGTGAGGGTAGAGATACCTGCTTGCTTTAATTTGAGCCTTTCATTACAACTTTCCTCTTAAGTCCTGAAACTTTTTTAACTCCCAGATTGAGAATGGGTTTCTGTTCTACCCATTTATATGACAACAGAATGAACATCACAACTGGGGTTATTGCCGTACAGGCTGTCAGTGGTAAAAAAAAAAAAAAAAAAAAAGGCTATTCAAAAAAGGAGGCATAATCTTAAATCTATCATTATTTATAAAGTAGTCCCCCTTACGTGTACCATAACCCCCAATGGATGCTTGAAACATCCCTATACATATATCTATTCCTTTACATTATACCTATGATAGCTTATAAATTAGGCACAGTAAGAGATTAACATAATCATACCATTAATTAGAACAATTATAGTAAGATATTATAATAAAAGTGGAGTGAATGCACTCTCAGTGTCTCTCAAAATATCTTATTTTAGATAATATTTTTGGACCCTTGCTGGCCACAGGTTAACTGAAAAGGCAAAAAGCAAAACTTATACTGTCCAGGATCTCAAAAGGAAGTAAAACTGCAAATCTCTTAATGTAAATAATTTGAAACACACTGACAGTTTTCAAAGTAAACTAGAATCTGCAGATTTCTCAATGCACATTAAACTGCAAGCATCATAATTCCCAGTGTCGTATTAAAGGATGTATTATGAGAAAATATAATTATCTCCATAAGATAGTACACAGTAGGTCAGTTCTTTTCAGTGGCAAATGTTGCAAAGACTACTGCTCAACAACTTAGCAATTCCCTTCATCCTTTCTTTCTTGTTGGCAGAACCTGCCTATATTTCAGAAGTTAAAAGTTCCAGAAAGTCCTTCTTATAGTCTCCCTTACAGCAAGGACATGGACAACAAATATAACCCAATTCTAGCTACTGGAGTCTAAGAAAGCTGAAGTTGACTGGCAAGACTTTGGCAAAGGTTTTCTTCATGAACAAAGAAAGATGCTGTTCTGTTTGATTTTTTTTTACAACTTATTTATAAGTTAAAAAATAAAGAAGATTTAAATATAAAAGCATCTACTTTATCACATTCTTGTGGTGCCATTTTGTAAGTTATCTGCACAGAGAAAACTCCCAAAAATAATGGCCTCACTCCTTCCAAAGTCTTTCCACCTTCTTGAATTCAGGTGAACAAAACTGGAAGAAGCAAAGTTAAACATTTATTTTTCTGAAGGTTATGGTTATCAAGAAAGAGATAAACAAGGGCAATAAATTAAGCTTTTAAACCACTTTCCTCAAAACATACCAAAGAATTTAATCTGAAGAGAAAAAATGTCCACATGTTTACTGATGATAATCACTTTATATTCTGAAATTCCAAGATGGGGGTTGAATTATAATGTAAAATGAAAATACTGTCAAATGAAAAGGAAATTTGATATCTTAAATCTTTTTATCAACACCACAAATTCAGGGCACAGTTCAGAGGATGTTTTTCGCTAAAAGACACAATTCAGATATAAATAACTACCATTTATCTGGCAAAGAAAGTAAAATATAAATTCCATCTTTTTTGCTTTGAGGGTACACTTAGATGAATGTAATTTAATTGACCTAGATTGCCACCTTACCCTTAACAGAATACTGTGAGAATTAGAATATTCTTTTCCATATTCTAATAGATGAGTAAAGCGAATTTTAAGGAAGCAAAGTAGTTTTGAGGATCAAAAAGTTGCCATTTTAAAACCACCGGAGGACACTGGGTCCATTTAAGCGAGTAAGGGGCCTTTGGCAGGTTTTCTTAAAAGTCTGAGTCCTAGGGCACCCACAGGAGTCTAATGTAAGTGAATAATTAAACCCTCAGGTAGCTTAAAGTTTGCCAATCCTACCCTGAAGGATTTAGCAGAAATAGTACTGAGAAAGGACTTCCTGGGATATTTTTGCATTTCTACAGTAAGTGACCTTGTTTTTGGGCCATTTCAAGAACGTTTCTGAAAGGAGGAAGCACAGTAACTGACAGGAAGATAAAACAGTGATTTGCCTAACTATTTTATCTCAGCCTATTTGAGTAGCTGAAAGGGACAAAATCAAAACCTTAATTCAAGTAGCAAAGTCAGACAGCAAGAGATCCCCAACTCCCAGACTTTCTTTAGTTTCTGCAAGTCCCCCAAAACCCTGACTCTGGACGACATTAACTTCCTCGCAGTGCGGCTGACAAGCCAAACCCTCAGCTCAGCCTCCAAGCGCCACATCTTGAACTTCTCCTCCCGCCCGGAGCGAGAGCCCCGCGAGGGGCCCTCCGGGCCGCACGAGGACAGGCCCCGGGCAGCGGCCCCGCCCGAGGGCGCGCGGGCGGAAGGAGGGACACCCATGACTCACTCGCCCCGGGCCCGCGGCCAGACCGCACCATCCTCACCTCCGCACGTCCCGGCCCGGCCTCGCAGCGCCCCCCGGAGGCGGCCAGGGAGAGCGCGCCTCAGGGACACCCCCAACCCGGAACTGGGCCCGGCCCGGCCTGGCCTCTCCCTGGGAGAACCCCCCCCGCTCGGGAGACCCCCCGGCCCTGGCTCCCCTCACCCCCACCGGGGGAGACCCCGGCCGCGCGCAGACCTGAAACAGCGGCTCCCCGCAGCTCCCGGCAGCCCGCGGGGCCCGCGCCCCTCCCACCGGAGCCGGAGCGAGCATGCGCGCCGGGCGCGCCCCGCCGGCACGCGCCGCCGCCAGGGAGGCCGGGCGAGGCCGCGGCGTGGGCGGAGGCCGGGCTCCCTGGGCGGCGCGCGCCCCCCGCCCTGCCATTCACTGGCGACGTCGGCCCGCGGTCCTCAAAGTCCGTCCTCTCCGTTAGGCGGCGAGCGCCGGAGGGGAGGGGACAGTCAGGAAGGCAGGAAACTGCGGCTTAAAAAGGCAGCCCGCAGCGGGCCCTTCCTCCCTCTCTCGTCCCCGGGCTTCCGAGAGCGCCTCGGCTCCGCGGCCTCCGCCCCGCCGCCATGTACCGCTGCCTCGGGGAAGCGCTGCTGCTGGCTCGCGCCGGGCCCGCCGTCCTCGGCTCGGCGGCTGCCGACTCGGCCGCGCTGCTGGGCCGGGCCCGGGGCAGCCCGCCGCCGCCCCGCAGCCGGGCTCGCGCTGCCCGCCCGGCGACACTACAGCGAGGCGGTGGCCGACCGCGAGGACGACCCCAACTTCTTCAAGATGGTGGAGGGCTTCTTCGATCGCGGCGCCAGCATCGTGGAGGACAAGCTGGTGGAGGACCTCAAGACCCGGGAGAGCGAGGATCAGAAGCGCAACCGGGTGCGCGGCATCCTGCGGATCATCAAGCCCTGCAACCATGTGCTAAGCCTGTCCTTCCCATCCGGCGCGACGACGGCTCCTGGGAGGTCATCGAAGGCTACCGGGCCCAGCACAGCCAGCACCGCACGCCCTGCAAGGGAGGTGAGCGCCCCCCCTCCCCGAACCGGCCCCCGCGCTCTAACCCCGCGCCCCTGCTCCACCCCGCCGCTTCGCAGCCGGGGGCCGCCGCTCGGGCCGCCTCGCGGGCGCCGGGCCCCTTCCGAGGTCGCCCACCTCCCACATCGGGTGCATCAGGCTCGGGTGCCTAGTAATTTTTCCGCCTTAAGACCACCACACGGTTGGTCCTGTCTCCTTGCCCCCCGCGAGCCATCATCCCGGTTTTCTGCATATGTTGATGCTGTGTGCAGAACAGACACTGCACCGCTCTTCTTTTGATCCAGGATCTGTGACTCACAGGGTGGGTCCTGACAAAATGCACTTCTACGAGAGGGAGTGTCCGGCCCATCTGATTGTGCCTGTGCAAGTTTTTGTGGGCTTCTATGACTCACACGAATGCAAACTATGAAATAATTGTTTTCGCATTTTTTTCCACTCTTTTTATAGTAGTGGCAGATCATGCAGGAACGTCCAAAATTAATTGCCCCCTAGGTTTTAAATGTAGACAGTTTTAGGCAAATGAATATATTGATTTTACCTTGATCTTTTAAATTAGGTCATTTTCTACCCTGTAATTTCTGTTTTGTGCAAAAAAGGAAGCAAGAAAAGTAATACAAGAGCAATGTAACATCTCTGACAAATAAACACCGGGCGACCTGACAGTAAATCTAAAGGGTGTAGACTGCTGGACATCCTGCCAACCAATGGAATGAAATAGCCCTGGGGGTGTGTACTAGTCCTGGCTAGCACCAGGTTTGAGCTTGGGGAAAAGATAAAGTACAGGAAGAAAGGCGTTGAGTCAGTTATAATTTGGTAGTCACCAAGTTGTACTATAGTTGAAATTTTTGAATTTCTGTAGATTTGGCTTCTGCGGGCAGTTTGCTTTCTCTGAGCAAATAAAAGCTTTTTTCCCAGTAAGTCACATAATTTAAAGGTCCTTTAAAGTAACCTAAAAATAGAAAGGGCAAAGCCACTTTTTTAAATTTAAAAAAGAATCCAGGTAGGTGAAGAGTCTTGCTGAAGGTTTGATGGTGTGTAGACCCTTGTCTTTGGAAACCTGGCCCAGGATGTGCTGGCTGGCATTCCCAACCGGGGAACAAAGGTGGTTTTAAAGTGCTTAATGATTTACTTATTGCTAAATTTGCATTGACCCCACCCACTTCCGGCATTTGTCTTTGGAGCTTAATTATCCTCTTGCTGTCTTGGTTCCTTTTTCAATCTTGTTGACCTCCAAATTCCCTCACCAGCTCCAAAATTATTATATAAACTGTGTTGTCAATATCCTACATTGCCTTCCTTCTTCCTACCACTTCTTTATTCTCTAAACCAAGTTCACGCTCAAAAAAAAAAAAAAAAGGCTAAGCAAGTATGTTGAGGAAGAGGCAAAGTTAATATAGTACATTGCAATGTGTTGTAAAATGGACATCAAGTTATATTACTCTATTGTTGGCAGTATTTCCAGTCTCTTAAAAGGCTTACAATAACCTAATATTTCAGTTTTGTTTTTCTGCAGGACTTGATTTTTTTCCTTGAAGTTCTTTGTATTTTTTAAATGCCAGGTCCTCTCCTATCTTTATAAATCACAACTTCACAGTCATTAAAGCAACTAAAGTTTACCGCAATCCTCTTCCTCCTGTTGCCACAGCAGTTTTAATACCAAATGTTGAACCCAGCAACAAATTGCATCAACTATACCTAACCACTGTTACTGTAGCACTTACTTATGCTAGAGTGTAAGAAACAGTTCTCTGTTGGATTTGAGAAACTGAATTGCAGTGAATAATGGCAACCATTACAAGATAATATAATATGAAAGAAATGTATTATCTTCGGAATTTGAAAAACTATGGAGAGAATAGGATGGGGGGGGGATTAGTTAACTATGAAAGAAAGTCTTTATGAACATATCCATCTGTTGAAGATAAATAAACAGAATACTAAAGAGGTGATCAGCAAAATTTAGGTCCATGCTTTGCTTTCATGACACTCCACAATCTTCCTACCCACTCATAACCCTCTGCAGAGAATGTGCTTTCTAAGAGGAACTCACTTTAAGTGGGATTTTTTTTTTAACAGTTAAACAGTTAAAACTTTTTTTTATTTGTAAAAAAGTTATTAACCCCTTGCTCCCATTCTTCCCTTAGAAATGCAGGCTATATTAAGTGAAAAAGATTGTAATTTTCCAATCATTACTGTGAACTTCATCTTTCCCACTTAAGCACACTGTTCTCTCCCTAGCCACACTCAACAAACTATCTTCTCTACCAACGTTCTTTTCAAAAGAAAAAAACCCCAAAACTTTGTCTGTTGCTTTCATCTTTTTCCCAGTCCTCAGCTTTTTATAATCTTTCCGCAGGGTGACCTTAGACCTATGTTTTCTGAAATAAAATTCTCAAAGTTGAAGCAAAGCAACCAATCTAATTATATATGGGCTTTGTAAGGGAATCTTGTAAGGTAGTTTTAAGACCTGGGGATGGCTGGTATATACTTTGTTCCAAGTAAATATTTAATAGTAGTATTCTTGTGCTTATTTTCCTATATGCCACATTTAACAAACCTTTAGATTAAAGATTTTCAGAAGAGTGTATTATAGGCTCTGAAGAAAAATTTTTAACAGACCTTAAAAAATATTTCCAGCAAAAATGAACATTGGGAGAATTTCTGCTTTGAGAAGACTTTTTCAAAGGTTCTTACATGTTTGAAAACTTTATCCATGATTGATTGTACCTATTAACTTTCTTAGAATCAGTTCTCTGTATTTCTTTGGCCTTGGTTCTATCTGGACAATCCAGAAGGATGTTTGCCATTTTGAAGTCAGTTGGAGGGGAGGGATACAGATTGATAATATTAATAGAGAAGTTGATTTGTTTTTTTCTTTGAGACTGTCTTCCCCCTGCCACTGTCTTAATTTTAAAACTTAAGTCAGAATACCCTGTGACTGACTCTTCTATCACTGAACTTTTTTTAAGATTTTTATTTTATTTATACAAGAACTGGGGTACAGGCCAGAGGCATGGGAGGGTGAGAGGATTCACCAGAGAGAGAGTTGGGAGCAGAACAGGCAGATTGACCGAAGTACACTGCTGAAGGTTGCAGCAGGTGAGTCAGGAGAGGTCTGCCACGCCATGTGGGCATCTCCCTGGCCGGCTGGCAATCAAACCCGCACTGCAGAGGCTGCAACAGCTTCACAGCGCTGCACCACCTGGGAGGCCCTATCACTGAACTTTCTAAAACTGTAGTCATTTAACTCAACTCAATGACCTGTGAGTAGTGGACACCTCTAATACACTGACCCTAAATCTTTTATTCAACAACAAATAAACAATAGCAAGTAATGCTTCGTTCTTATCTTTGTTTTGTTGTTGTAGTTGTTTGTTTTTAAATTTATTTTCTTACATCTTTGTTAATATTTGGACATTATTTGATTTCTTCCGTCATGTGTTATCCCTGTAGTTCTTAGCACCCTGGATCCATCCCCCATTTTGACTCCACTCCCTCCCGGTCCCCTGCTGTATGCCTCAAATCTGTGGTCAGCTTGCAAGTTTTTGTCTTTTCTTTGAGTGACAGCATGCAGGAGTGGAGGGCAGGAGAGGCAGCTAAGGATTGAAGTCAGTGCAGTATTAGTGCCCCTCCACCTCTGGGATATAATTGTGTGGTAAATGGCAGAATTCTGCAGAAGACCAAATAAGTACTACTATACTGTTTGAAAACAAAACATCCTCTCCCTTCACTGAAAAAAGGCTTTTGAATTGACAACCATCAAAACATGGATAACTTAGAATAAACCACACTTTATAATATTTTTAAGTCATGGCTATGTTATGTGTCTTAATCTGTCCTCCAAGAGAAAAAAATGTAGCCTTTGTACGCTTTTTTACTTTAGGATTTAACTCAATCTGAAAGTTCTCTTAAGAAAGGTAATTGGTGGGCCTCCCCGGTGGCGCAGCAGTTGGGCGCTGGGTTGCGAAGCTGCCCGCAGCCTCTGCAGCGCCAGTTCCACCCCCGGCTGCTCCCTGGCCACCGGAGGGGGCTCCCACATGGCGCGCAGACCTCTCCTGCCGCCCGCTGCTCCCCTCAGCAGTGTACTTCGGTCTTTCTGCCTGCTCTGCTCCCCGCTCTGGCTCTGGTGAGTTCTCTCACCTTCCCGTGCTTCTGACTGTGCCCAGTGCATGTATAAACAAAACAAACAAACAAACAAATAAATCATAAATAAATAAAAGTGCATGCCTCTTTAAAAAAAAAAAAGAAAGGTAATTGGTATGTCTTCTAGTACTTAGGTCTGAGAGGTTTGTTGTTCACAATTTTTAGTAAAATAGGGAATTTAAAATTCTTTTTGTTCCCAGTATTATTTTTTTTGTCCCAATTTTTACTTCATGGAAAGCAATTTCCTATAATCCCTACTCCCAGTATACTAGGTAATGAAGAGCTACAATAATGGTAGAGACCTTTTATCAGATTGTCATTAAGTCTTCCTATCATTTTGTGTGTGACTCCATCTAACCAGTTTGCTTTGGCAGTAAAAACCCCACATTTTTACCAGGAAGACAAACAATGCTCAATCGCTATGCAAAGTATACTTTGCAGGAATTGGAGCATCAAAAATTAGAGGACAAGCACCAGTATATATTAAACTCCAACAGAACTGTCAGTGTATTAATTTGAAGTCCAAGGAATAAAAATTAAACTTGAATTTTCTGACGTATCCTGGAAGAAATTGGATTTAGCTCTGTTGATAATAATTCAGATTGCTTGGGAAAACTTGTTTTTATCCATTTATGTTAAAAATACTAAGGGCCTGAAAAATACCGGATGGTCTCACTCATAGCAGGAATCTAGAAAACTTAAATAAGGGACCAGGAAAATGAATAACTATAAGAAAGTGAAAATCAAAATCAACAAAAAACTATGAACCAGAGACACTTTTTTGGGGGGCGGGGGCGGGAGGGGAGGGATTGGGGTCAGAATGGGGGGGCTGCAATTGTATG